GTAGCGACTTCCTATGACGGCTCTTGAAGGAAAAATGATGATAGATTGTGTGCAGGGTGTGAGGCTATAAGAGAGAGCAGGGGTGAGACGGAGGGGAAACTAGGTTTCAAGTATTCCACAGGCTAAATGAAGAACAAACATTCACCATACAAGACAGTGAAGGGGAAAAGATTATCATCTGGAGATGAAAGGCAGAGAGAGAGGGAGAGAGCTTCATTCACTGCCACACAGCTGTCTTATTTGCAAGGTGTTGAGAAACCACTTTTTTTTCTCTCCAAGAGGATGAAAAGATTCTTCTGAAGCCAAAAGGGTCTGCTATCATTTTTGGGCAGCTTGAGCGGTAGAGATGTTATTAGCATAAATTATCTCCCCCACCAAAGAGATACGAACATGCTAGCTCCTTTCTGCTTTTCACACTTAATTGCCCTATTTACTGAACAGTTGCCCATGGACAACAAATGCACACACGCTCCGAGATGCATACAGGACAACAGGCAGACACAAGCCAAATAGGGCATGAGTGATACACTGAAGTATCTGCCAAACAGCATTAGATACAGTACGGCTGGGGAGGCAGCAAGGGTCTATTCAGTCTTCATGTTGGACTGAGAATCAACAATAAAATGTTAAATATTGGTTTCATGACCTTCTTCACTGAGCCATGTTTGATAAAATGTTTTTTAAAGGGATTTTGTGTGAAATGCATGATGGCTGCCACCAAATGGCTTTTAAATGAAACAATAAACAAGAATTTTTCTTTTAAATTAAATACTTGTTGCATGTGACGTGCATTCATCTTCTATTTTAAACTTTTTAATCGTCAGCAGTTCTTGTCTTTCCAAAGAGCACAACAGTCTGCTGCCGTAGCAGCTCAAAAAAGCCTCATTGAAGTGACCCAGTAAGCAAGAGTGAGGTGAATTATAGATGGCTATGCTTAATGGACTCTTAGCTTCTCTTCACCTAGCCCAACAAGCTCAGAGTGACGTTATATAAGCAGAGCCAAGTATTAGGCGCTTAAGTTTCCGAGGTTTAATGCATCCCAGTCCGAGTGAAAATCATATTTTCTGTTTGGTAACTCTTCTTTTTAATGTCAGGTGTCCGGATTAGCTGGAAGTTAAATGATTAAACAGACTTTCACGTGTCTGTAAATAGAGATAAAAAATGTTCCTGTAGATGGGGTAATTGTCGGCAGCGTCTCTTGTGGAACAGTGTGAAGGAACAAATCAACTAGATTGACTTCATTCATTTGGCCGACCAGGTCATCTCCATAACCCTGGAGGGCCATACAGGATGTTAATGAGGCTGATTGTATTACAGCTTCTACCCCCTCCCCACCCCCCATCCCATCTAACCAGAGCCAGGCCCCCCC